AGCTTGCCCTGGCTGCTGAGAGTCTACCCTGTTGGTTGGTTGGCAGGTTGGTACCAGGGATTGAACGCGGGGGCCCTCGACCCCTGAGCCCCGTCCCCAGCCCGTTTTGGTTTTTTATTWAGAGACGGGGTCTCACGGAGCTGCTTAGGGCCTCGCTTTGGCGGAGGCTGGCTTTGAACTCACCATCCTCCTGCCTCAGCCTCCCGAGCCGCTGGGACGACAGGCGTGGGCCTCCGAGCCTGGCTGCCCTGCTTGTTTTCGAACTCCCCACTGGATGATGATTTCCAGATGCACAGTCTCACGCCCGTCGTCAGAAAGCCCTCACACTGGTCTGCAGGGCCGTCCCAGCGAAGCTCCCCAGACTGAGTGGCCTCAACAACTTGTTCTCTCTCGGCCCCGGAGGGTGGACGTGCACCACCCGTGTCCCTGTCTCCCCTCCACACCAGGAGTCCTGCGCAGCACCCACAGGGACCGGACACGGAGTCAGACAGATCTACATTCCACACAGCAAGAATGACCATCCCACGTCCTTTGTCCCCCTCATCAAGATGGACAAGAGATGATGGATACTTCCGTCAAACGCTTCGTATGTGACATCAAGTCTAAATGTCAGGATCATCCATCAAAAGCACTCCTAATGCACCACACAGAGGTCTCGGTTTTCTTGGCAGCTATGACAAAAGMTCCCAGCCTCGGGCACTTCACGACCCAGATCCATGGCGCCCAGTCCTGGAGGCCGAGGTGTGGGCAGGGCTGGCCTCCACCTCTAAGAGGACCCCAGTCCTGCTGGGTCAGGGCCCCCCGGGACCTCACTGCGCCCCATCTCCTCTCTCACAGACGTCATCTGCAAACAGTCATGTTCTAAGGTCCTGGGGTCAGGACTGCGGCACGGGGATTTGGGCAGGGACCCTCCAGCAGCACCTCACAGGCTTGTTTGAAGGTTCATTCAGATGGATTTTCAGGGGAGCCCTGCGGAAGGCTGCCTCCCACCTGCCCCCGTCCCCCTCTCCACCTAAGACGTGTGGAACATTGTAAAGAAATCCTCCCACCTAAGAACTGCAGGAGGGGAGCGGAGAACGATGGCCCCCATCTTTAGGGTATCTGGAGAGTCAAACTGGGGGGCTTTAAAGATCTCATCTGGTGGCTGACGGCACGTGGGGGCCGGGCTCGGGGGCCACGTGCACGGCCAGGAACTCACTTTTTTGTTCTGTTTCGTTGCACGGGATTGACCTTCGGGTGGGCCTGGCTGGGCACCTGGGGACAGATGATCAATGCTGATGGGTTTGGTCACTCACACCACAAACCTCAGGCAGAATGGCTCAGTGTTCAGATACCTGAAGGCCCTAAGCCCCCACGGGGTTGTGGACACGGGACCTCTGCAGAGGGGACGGGGTGCAGTGGGGCCCCAGGGAGCCTGGACCTTGGGCTCTCGGCCTCCAGGGCTGGGGGACAATCCATGTCTCTTGTTTAAGCCCCAGACTCATACACGTTGTTTCCAGCTTTTATTCTTTTGGTACCAGGGACAGAACTCAGGGACACCCGACCCCTGAGCCCCGTCCCCATCCCTTTTTTAAATATTTTATTTAGAGACAGGGTCTCCCTGAGTTGCTCAGGGCCTCCCTTTGGCGGAGGCTGGCTTTGACCTCGCGATCCTCCTGCCTCAGCCTCCTGAGACCCTGGGATGACAGGTGTGGACCACCGCATCTGGCCTGTTTCCAACTTCTTAAAAACAATTATTTTTTGAGACAGGGTCTTGCTCAGTCGCCCAGGCTGGCCTCAAACTCATGATCCTCCTGCCTCGGCCTCCCAAGTAGCCAAAATTACAGACTGTGCCCAGTTTGCTTCTGAGTTTAAAGTGAAATGTGTATTTCACCACCAAGTTCTGTAGTGACTATTGGTCCGTGAATAGATGTCATCGTCACGTTAGTTAACTATGTGTGTGTTTACTCAGGCCTTAACTCACTAAGGCACGGATATGGAGTGGATCCTGGGTCTCCCTCGAGTGCACGTGGCTGAGTGATTCTGTGCAGAACCCACGAGCTCASGGCTCCATGGCAAAGCGGCCAAGGAGGAAGCGGACGGACGTCTGGTCTGCGTGTTTGCAGGGGGTTTATGCTGCGGGGACAGAGGTCCAAGTGGACCTCGGGAATCGTGCCCTTCGCAGTTCCCAAAAGAGCCAGGCTCTGAGGCTCCGTGCCCGTGAGCTTCCTGGTTTCAGAGGACCTTGTGACGGGCACCTGTGGCCGTGATGGGGACCTCACAGCAGGGATCTGAAGTGTCCCCAGAGGCGCCTGTGTTGATGGCTGGGTGCCCTCTCAGCAAGGTTCAGCGGGAGCTTCTCGGCCAGGATTGGACCGCGAGGGTGCTGACATCACCCGGGGATGGATCCACTTGGTGGATTAATCCATCGGGTGGAATATCCACGGAAGCTGCGTGGACACTGGGGACAAGGGCCGAGCTGGGGGAGCGGCCCACGGGGCACGCTGCGGAAGGGGGCCTCTCGACAGCCCTTCTCCCTGCCCCAGCTGCGGGCGCTGAGCCGCGTGCTCACCACGCCGGTGGCCCGCCATGCTGTGGAGCGTCACCGAGGCCCGGGCCACCGCGGAACCGACCCCGTGAACCCTGAGCCACTGGGAACTCTTCCTCCTGGAAGTCGCCTTGGTCACMGCCATGGGAAGCCGGGGAACCCAGCACCGAGGTCCTGCAGCCAGGCACAGAACCCGGGTCTCCCCAGGGCTGTCCCCAAGCCCCCACTCGGGCCAACGCCAGGGGTTGATCCAGGGTCCACGGCGGGCAGCTCAGGCGGAGGCTCAGGCATGGGGGGTGCCCAGGGCGCTGGTCTGAACCCTAGGACCTCACATCAGAGAGGACAGAGGGGGACACCCACACGAGTCCCCGCAGCTTCCTGGGAACGGGGCCTCACCCCGGTCACTTCCCCAAAGGCACCCCCTAATGCCACCCCCGTGGGACCAAGCTCAAGTGCTCGTGGGCGCTCCCCTYCAAACCCGAGGGCCAACCCGGGCACCCTGCACCTGCTGGACGTGTCCCCGGAGGTGTGCGACTCGCCCGGGTGTCCAGGTGGCTTGCCCTCTCAGGCCGGCAGTGCTTCCTGATGGCATTCTATTCCCACGACAGGTGCAGGCCGTGAAGCCCGTGGTGACCAGGGAGACGACGATCCTGTGCCCAGGTGGACAGGACCACGTGGTCCTCCCCACAGACTCCCGGGATGCCCCCCAGGTGTCCTGAAGACCTGCTGTAGGACACGTGAGCCCCTCCATCCACAAAGTCCTCACGAGTGTCCTGGGACCCGAGAACCTTCCACCCGCACCTCTGGACCCTCCCTGGGGAGAACTGACCCAGTCCATCCCCCTGTGAAAGGCAGGTCTCGTGGCCAAGGGCGACCTCAAGGACAGACACACAGGGAGGAGGAGGGACAGACGCCCAGGGAGGAGGAGGAGGGACAGACACCCAGGGAGGAGGAGGGACAGACACCCAGGGAGGAAGGGCTCGTCCTGTCTCATGGTTGGGGTCCCACCCCAGCCGCGTGGCCTGTTTGGCCTGTGGTGGGGCAGCACCCAGGGTGGGAACCTGAGGCCCAGCTGCTCACCTAATGGCAGCCTGGAAGGCAGAGAGAGGGGGAGGGGGAGGGATG